TGGTGGTGAATTCGGAAGGAAGGACTCGTCGTACTCTTGCGACCAAGACGGAAGGTGGTGAGATAGCTGAAATCTGCGCGCGATTCAAGTATGAAGCAAAGTCAGACCTTGCGGATGTCAGCTTGAGAGACACACGTGACAGGTCTTGCGTCTGCGAGCCGGAAGATTGTCGATTTTCGTGGTTGTCTCTCCTCGGTTGCTCGGTGTTGCGATAGAAACGGTCTCAAGGTCAGGCAAACGGAAATAGCCTCGTGGGGAAAAGAAAAATAGGCTTCAGCGAAACAGCCCGCTGTAGGGAACGGTGAGCTTGGAGGAGGAAGGCCGCGGGAAGGAAAGGGAAAGCCCACGATCTTCTGGTTTGGTTGTTGGAGGGGGAAAGAAGGTTGCTGGAGGCAATCAAAAGGTGAAGCCAGGCAAGTGGGCTGCAAAAATGGCAGTGACACGCTCCGGCCCGGCCAGGACGCGGCCAGGCGTCAATTCCCATTAAAGCGTGTCGACAAGGGGGTGGGGACTTGACCCATCGTGAGGTACCTCATTGGAGGTAGCGCGTGGCAGGCTGAAAGGGTACTGGAGTTTGTGCAGTGGCTAACTTGGACAATGCTGTGGCACAGGAACAAGGCTTTCACTGTGAGCGCACAGACCATACCTTAAATCTCACCTCAAAGCATCCAACATTGGTCCATTGATGACCTTCTTGGCCCTGCATTCTTCAACAACACCATAATTGAACTTTAGCTTAGCCCATGCTAATGAGTCCATGTCATACATGAATGAATTCAACGAACAACTAAGCATTTCTATTTCTGGCAAACCAATATCTATCCTGGCTTCCTGAGACCGCACCAGCGGCGTCTCTCTGAAGTCTAGAATTACAGTATGGCAATGTCGGAAGACCAACATGAATAGAAATCCATGACTGGGCTCTGTCATGGTGTTCATTACCTCCAAAGCGACCACTGGCATTTAGATTTTGTACTCAGTTGGATATGAATCACAGACAAAGTCGTCCCAAATAGCAAGGAGCTCCCTCGGGCTCAAGTTAGTGCAATAGCAACATTAATGTATGGCATAGTGGAAATCAGGGAGTGTCACTGCCTAGCAGTTCTCATTCATGTTTTTGCTCAAGCTAGTTGAATCCCGCCGGTCCGCAATCAGATCTCCCAAATGAGAGCACCCCCCATATGCCCTTCTGGGTAACTTCGTGCGCCCATCACACCATGCTATGGATGAGAATGGCGACCCGCCGCAGATGATAGATCCTCCAGATGCCTCTCCCAAAAATAGTCTTTTCATGACGTGTCTCTTTTGCGGATGATCCATCTCGATGATAGACCCAGCCACCTAAAATCAATGTAACGCATTCCCTTGGTCCCAGAGACCCAATGCTCTCCTCCCCGGGCTAAACGATATGTTCGTCTAATCGGCCCCTGATACACCAGCTTGAGGCTTGGTGGATTTTACCCACACATCGAGTGTGCCCGACTCTCTCACACTCTTGTTCTTTACCTTCGCCTGAGTCTGTTTCTTGTCACGAGCCAGGAGGTGCTCAAGTGGACAGACAGTACTATTCCACTTCGTAGTACCTTCCACTGTCGACCCTTGGCAACGGTAGCAATTTCCACCGTGCTCAATGAACAACTGATGAAGTCCATACTTGAGGTGGTCGGGTACTCGAAAGTCGCAGTGCATGTATGTGTCGTTTGGGCTTGCTTTCATGGGGGCCCATCCCAGCCATCTTGTCATCCGATGTACATGGGTGTCGACCGCAAAGCTGGGCATCTGCAAATTGAATAGTAGAAGACAAGAAGCAGTCTTGACTGCGACCTGGGGGTATTTGACGAGTTCCAGCATTGCATCATGTGGCTTCATGATTCGGATGTGATCCAGTGTTAGTATGCCCGCATTAATCTTGCTCAGCTGGTGGTCCCTTTGTTCTGGGCTCAATCTCGCTGTCCCAGGCGAATTGCTGGGATCTTTCGTGTCTTTCTCCTTGAGGTACATCTTTGCCCTTTTCTTGTTATCTTTGCGAATCATGCTGAGGCACGTCTTGATGGCATTATACTTTGTGGGACCAAGTCCACCTGGTCGAAAAGCCTCCAGCACTGCATCTTTCGGGGCCTTTCGCAGAGCATTCCAATTGATACTCTCTGGGCCAGGTCCTTTCTTGTCAAGCATACCAATCAGTTTGATGATATTTTCTATCACCTTGTCGGCGCTTTCTCGGGTGACCGACTGGCTGATGATTGTTCTTATCATGGCATCAACCAAGCATGGCACTTCTCCACACCCAGCGACATTGGCAGAAGCTGGCGGTATTGTGGCTGGTTGGACAAAGTTAAGTGCTTTGCGCTTCGCAGGCTCTTCACTCTGCTCTCTCTTTTGATATTCCTGAACAAGGATGTCGTAGACAACCTGGCACTCCCCTGCACTAGGTCCAGGCCAGTCGCGGTACGGTGTCTCTCCTGGCATCAGTCCATAATCCTTCTCCTTGACGACCTTCTGTTCGTCCTCTGAATCTAGGTCGTCAGTTGAATCTGGATCGCTTCCTGCTTTGTCGATCGCCTCTTCGTTTGCCTCACTGAGATCCACGGTCGCTGTTGTCGGCTTCTTTAATCGCCGGTATCTCTTGGAAGCTTTCTCTAAATCTTTTGCAGTCATGTTCTTTCTCGTCGACGCAAAATCATCAGAGCAGCTGTTTGGAGACGAGTTCTCATCTCTGACGATGACCTCCAGGTTGGGAATGTAACTTCCTAAACCATGGGGGAGATCTACCCTGATCTCCTGGGTAGATGATACGTCCTTAGATGCGGCTTTCACTCGCTTAATCGCTTGTGGATGGTGATCATCCTCTTCATTGTCTTCAGCGTGTCTCTTCACCCCAGGAGCAGCCGATCGTAACATTCTTGTGCCCCTTGAAGGTCTTTTGTTGGTAGCGTTCTTGATAGAAGTCAGCCAAAACTTTCTGTCTTCTTTTGGTGAACGCACGTTTTCTTGGTCCGCTGGCTCTGGAGGACTCCTTTGGGGGGTATGTGTGGTAGAAGTTTGGTAGAATGCCTCTTTATCTGCTGGTCGACGGACCGTCCCGTTGTGTATCGGCAATTGAATCGCTCCTGCGTCCGCTGGAAGTTGGATCGCTCCAGCATCGATTGGTGATAAGATCGCTCCTGCATCAGCTGGTGGTGGGATTGCTTTTGCACCCACGGCCAATTGGACTGTTCCATCTTCTACTGGTGAAGGAAGTTTTCTCCCATCTACAAGTGAATGTGTGCCTCCTTCGTCTGTTAGAGATACGACACTTTACAAGGTGGCACGCTTACCAGGAGACTGTTTGGACGTTTCTGCTTCTTCTAAAGGTAAAAGAATCTTCTGGGCAGCTCGCCTGGTCGCACTTCGAGTTTGCATGATTGTGCAAGAAGAATAGGACAATAGGTCAACAGTCCACGAAGACTCAGTAGCTATTGATTGATCCAGTGAGATAGCGCGAGTACAATGTGCTCTACTTCGTGGCACAAGTGTAGGGGAATGTTATGGCGATCAGGGGCCCAATAGCAAAAGAGGTATCGGTAGGTTTCTGGCTTGTTTCGAGACTTGATGCATTTATTTTGTAGAGACTTTCCCTGAGTTGATGTCTAGAAAGTTTATGGGTCGTTGGTCGTTGTCAATCACGCTTTGAGGGGCGATGTTGGGATGAGGTTGGATGAAAGCGTGAATCGCCGTTGTGTATTACGGATGAATTAAGCGAAGTCTTCCATCCCAACTACGTACCTTATCTAGAAGGATCCATATGGGATTGATCGAAAGTTGCCTGGCCTCGATTTTGGAAGGAAGGAATTCAAGCAGAGGTGGGAAGGCGTCAAGAGGTGTGGGTGCCTGCCTTATTTCCCCGGGTCCCTGGCGTTACATTTGGTATCTACTGCTGTTCACGGTATCGCTACTGCCTGAGGAACCTCACTCATGCAAGTTTGTGTAAGAAAGAAAAGGTTCCTGTGTTGCTTTAGTAATGTTTGAGTGCCAAAGAAAGAGATGGAAGAGAGGGAAGAAAGAGCCTATGAAACCAGCTTAAGCATTCACTATGGTCGTTGGTGAAGGGAGGCAAGGCCCACAAGGAAAAGTCCAAGCACTCACACAATGAGTTTGGAGATGTTTTGAGGACTTTGTGTCATTCGTCGATGTGAAAGTCACGGAGGGAAGTTATGACACGCTTAAGCAAGCAGACGATAGTCAGGCGTCAAGGCGGTATGATGTTATTCTATGTGATTTATCTCGCCATCTCGGGAGCTCAAATCTGTACTCGGGCCTCTGAGGTGGCGTTCAAATGGATGAGAATATGACTGAAAGACTTCACATGAAAGACTTCAAAGTTGCTGTTATGATCTACCTCTGGGTCAAGAGGTCAAGAACAGCCATGGGAGGCGAGGTGAGGGCGAGAGCAAGTCGGGTTATCCATTTCAAAAGAAGCAGGGGATTACCTGACCAGTGATCTATCCGGTTGTTTTCAAGTACTCTACCAAATATTCAGATGGTCTGAATCTTCTTCACATGCTAGATCCATATCAGAAACTTCTCCACCCTCAAATACTCCTCGTTCTTCCCTATCCTGTCCTCCATTGGGCAGGCAGTAGCCGTAGCTCCTGCCTCGAGGGCAACTTCAACCCCTTAGGTACGCCCAATCGGCTTCATCTTCTCAATCTGAGAAATTGACGCCTCACAGACTTTTCACCTCCAACTATCCCACTTGGACCTTTCGTTTTGACAACATCTCGAGCGGCGCAACCAAGATCTGAGCGACCAAGTGCCTGAATTGGCGCCAAGCAGCAGGCAAGGTTCAACGAACAAGTCCATTATAGGGTGGAAGAGGATAGTCTCACCAAGGTTCGTCAGGCTGAGACCAACAAACCAACAGACTCGAATACCGACAACTTTCCATACACAGTTCTTAGGCACCCTCTTTATCTTGCACCCCCAGCTGATCAGACAGTCAGTCCTCGACCATCAAAGCAATGGCTACCGCTGTATTCTCGGGCAGTAGCCCCTGCGCTGCCATCGTCGTGGATGATGATCACACATCTGAGGATAAAACCACGACAGAATGGCAGCGAAGGGTCAATGCCTATCGCCCTCAAGGCCGAGAGAACTCTGTCGTCACCATCAACAGTGATTTCGACGTCCTGGAACAGAAAGAAGAGGACATCGCCGACAGAGAACTCGAAAATCTTATCGATCTTACTGTTGAAGATGACCCGGTTGTCCGACACCGTCGACGACGTCGCCAACCGCTCCCCGCCAAGAATCCTGAGCGTCATCACCAGAGCATAGAAACTGGCCAACGGCTGATCAAGCTCAAGAAGTTTTATGAGCTGGATCCTTCGCAATGCCCCAAATCGGCGCTAGAGCCGCATTTTCTTCTGGTGAAAAAGATCACGGAGGATTTGATCACCAACAAAATCACAATTACCGGACTGCCGTTTGTCAGAGTACGCTCACTCATGGCCAAGTTGCCGCGAAAGTTGAATGAGGTGGCCGTCGTCTACGAACTAGACGAAAACGACGACAGGACGATCAACGAGCAGGCAAGCATTGAGGTCCCCTTGTCGGCAATCATCGGACCTTCCAGAAGCTTTCACACTACGAATGCGCTCTACCCGCACCATCGCTATGACCCGAAAGCCTTCGCCAACCTAGAAGCAGTCGAGAAGGAAGGTCCACTGGTGTGTCGGTGGAAGTACTTCATTCACTACCGAGACTCGCGCGAGAAGAAAACAAGCAAAGCTCATCATTGGACGTTGGAACGTGTTCGAGAGCACGAAGTCGAACGAGAAGACTTTAGGGTATCTGAGGAAGATTTGCGATCTGACTGGCGAGGCGTGACAATCCGCGGAGGCGCACATCTTCCAGAGATGCAGCCTCAGGTGCTTGGAAAACCCACCGAGAAGCAGAAATACACAGTCTTCGATTCTTTCTGCGGCGCCGGCGGCTTCTCGAGAGGCGCCGAGCGGGCAGGGATGAAGGTCCAACATGCCGTCGACTCATGGGACCGGGCGTGCAACACCTACCGCCAAAACTTCCCGGATACCAATCTCTTCGAGATGACTGTCGACGAGTTTATTCTTCACCAAAAAGATGTCCCAATGAGAGTTGACGTTCTCCATCTATCGCCACCATGTCAGACATGGTCACCAGCTCACACCGTCGCGGGACAAAACGACGAGGCTAATATCGCCTCGCTCTTTGCCTGCAGAAGTCTCGTCGAGAAAGTGCGCCCTCGACTCTTTACGCTGGAACAGACCTTTGGAATACTGCAACCGGCTTACTCGCCTTTCTTCAATACTCTTCTGATGGGGTTCACCGAGTTCGGGTATTCTGTAACTTGGAAGCTGGTCCATCTCCAGACCTGGGGGCTCCCTCAAGTCCGAAAGAGACTGATTATGATTGGCGCCTGTCCCGGAGAGAAGTTGCCCCCCTTTCCCAGAGCAACCCACTCTGAGACGGGAGCCGGCGGTCTGGAAAAGTACGTGACTATCAAGAAAGCACTCGAGAGGATCACGAATGACTGCACCTGGCACAACCCGGAGGAGGAGATGAGAGACACTTTGCCCACGGGCTCAGTCGTGTCCAGCCCGGATGAGATCTTGAAGAGAGCCATCACATGCTCGGGAGGCGGAAATATGCACTATTCGAATACCAGAGCCTACACGGTGCGTGAGTTCGCCAGCCTTCAGGGGTTCCCCTTCTGGCATCAATTCCCCAAGGCTCCCAAGTCAGTCTTGAAGAAGCAAATCGGGAATGCATTCCCGGCGTGCGTTGTACGACCGCTCTATGAGCACCTCAAGAATTGGCTTCTAGCCGAGGACGGCCTCGCCCCTGCCTGCGACGTGAGAGCCAGCGTTGGCGGAAGAGCCAGCGTTGGCGGAAGAGAATTGGTGTTCCTGACCGAGGCGCCTGCGCCTACGCCTACGCCGCGCCGCGTCCCTGTTCCCGTCGCGATGCCGTCGCTCTTGAGAACCCAGGGAGACTCTGCGAACAACGCTATGGTGCTTGATGAAGATGAAGATGATCAGATTGAGATCAAGTTCTACGGGGACTCCGACATTGAGATGTCTGACGTGCCCGAGGCGTCTAGGAGCCCGGATACCCCTGACACGCCGCTGTCTTATTACCGGTACCGGTCTCGGTCGAGGACGATGTCGCTTGGACCGTCTCCAGAGCCGGTGCAGTCTGGGCTGAAGGACTCGCCTATTGTGATTGACTGAAGGGGTACAAGAAGGATTTTATTGTGTGTGTGTGGAAATTTGCGAACTTTGTCACGTTATCATTTCTGAACGACGACTTTGCACGACAGAATAGGAACAGGAACGAAAAAAAAGGAGTGGTGTTGAACACTGGGCTTTCTCAGAGACTACGAGGAATGGGCCGAATGGCACGGATCTTCAACGTCACGCAGGAAGCAGATGATGAATGTTGCACTGAATGAAATGGAACGAGAGGAAGGGAATTACTTTTTTTCTGTAGTCTAGTTTTGAGATTAATCTGCCTTTTCTCACTAAACAGTCCCCCCTAACCATTCTTCTTCACCACAAGAGCGAGGCATAGTCACCACCACCCTCACGACCTCAACACACTCTGGTCAACCCAGCTAACAAACCCAAACTCCCCCTCGGGCGTCTGGAACACGTCCTTGGGTTCCCTGTACGGCGCCGCGCCCGCGTCGTCCAGCACGATCGTCACATTGCTCGCCTTCATCTGCTCGGGCGTCCAGCCCGGTCCGCGGTCGTCGTAGACGGCCATGAAGGTGTAGTTGTTGACGCGCGGCTCGCTGGCCTGCCACTCAATGTAGCCCTGGGGCTTGATCGAAGCATCAAAGAAGGACTGCATGAAGATGGAGCGGTGCTGGGCGTTCCAGGGGCGGCCGAGGGCGCAGGCGCCGCGAATGGTGGGCGCGACGGAGGCGTTGGCGGCGAGGACTTGGGAGTCGGAGATGTAGACTCCGTACTTGTTTTCAAAGGTTGTGTTCGTTCCTGTCATCTTTTGTGTTAGTTTTTATGGGATGATGGTGGCTTGGGAGAGACAGAGAAAGGAAAACATACCCTTCCAAGCAGTGATACCGCCGCCGCAGTTCCTCAGCGAGAGCGTCGACTTCTCAATGTACGCCGTGCCGAACCCGTACAGGAAATCCGTCTGGCCTGCAATAACATTGTCGTAGAAGTAGGCGTTGCCCAGCTTCCCGACGTACAGCGTATCCTGCCACCCGTACAGCCCGCACGAGTAGAACCCGGCGTTGGCCCTGCTCACGCCCACGGCGTGCGCGGGGCCGTTGGAGTACGGGTACTCGTCGTTGCGGAAGTCAATGTTGTAGGCGCGGAAGTCGGCGCAGCCGAAGGGCGTGTCGGCGGGCACGGGGAAGCCCGTGGGTCCGGAGCCGGTGAGCGTGGCGTTGAGGGTGGGGCCGACGGAGAGGACGCTGGTGTAAGCGTTGTCCGGGAAGCGGACGTTGTGATTTGTAGCGTTGAAGAGGACTTGGACCTCGTTCTGGGCGTTGCCGGCCGTGGCGTTGCCCGAGGCGGAGTAGGAAATTCCCGTGCTGGGGGAGTCGGTCATGCCCAGCAGGGTGAGGGGGCCGGGGCGGGTTACGTTGAGTTGTTCTACGTAGATGCCTGGTGCGATGAGGATTGTGTGGGCTGTTGTGTCGTGGGGGAGGGAGGCGATGGCGTCTTGGATGGTTGTGAAGTTTGCGTGTTTGGAGGTCTTTGAGACGAAGATGGTGTCTGGGGGGCAGCCCTCGAAGGGGTTATTGCAGGTCTTCTTTTGGCATGCTGCGTAGGTCTTTGCCGGGCCTGAGGGGATCGCGGCGATGGCCAGGGAGGCGAGGGCTCCGGAGAGGAGGATGGATGCCTTCATCTTGGAGCCTGTTTCCTGGTTCTCTCACTTACAAAGTTACTCGTAAAGAGAGAGGAAGAGGAAGAGCTAGAGGAAGGGGGAAGAGCGAAGACTCGGCCGAGCTTGAAAATATATACAAAAAAAAAGAGCGTGGTGGTTGAGGTGGCATTCTTCTGAACAAGCTGAACAAAGAGACCCGATGATCGGGATGGGGTTTGCTATATATCCTTCCCGTCCGTCCCATTGCTACCTACCCTTGACTACCTTGGCCAGTGCTACTCTGCCAGCCTGAGCTTTCCCTTGCCCATATTACCCGATGCTTGTCACAATCTCCTCGACAGCTCGCGAGTTGGGGGCGGGAGCAGGTTTTCCGGGTATCCCCCCTGTCCCGGGTTCAAGTCTCGCCGTAATAGAATCGAAGGGCTGTCAACAACTTGCACACTTACAAAGAGCAAGGCAAACACGCATACAAAGCTCAAGCGCGCGTATTGTGGGCGGAGTCAGATGTGGCACTTGCAGTGGCAGCGCCAAAGTATACCATATTGGCCCCTCAGGAGAAAAGCGAAAATCTCGCAAAACTCGCAGTTCGCGGCCTCCATCGACTATCAACAGTACGAAGTACATCGGCCCAGCTTACGACTCTCCCTCTCTCTTTCTGTTTCTCTCTCTTCCCTCTTCCCCCGGGCTGGACGCGCGGGGTAAAAGACGGAGTTATTACCCCGGAAATCCCATCGCCGGCAGACGTGTCCAAGGAATATTTGTGTCCCATGGGGAAGAAGAAGCGTGGCAATGGGACGAACATGATGAGCACATGGGAGTGCCGTAGGCGACCAGGTCAAAAGTTGGGGAAAATGAGGAGGTCGAATCCCCAACTTTTGGGGCTCTGCAGGGCTTCTGCAGACGTGCAGGTGGAAGAACTGCAGCTGGCGGATTCCACGAACCACAGCTTGCAGGGCCTCGCAGGGCACTTACACTAGCCATAAGCCACGAGATTTAGTGTCATTAAGTGTCAACGGCGGTTGTCGATGACGCGGGGAAATGGCAACTTGACAGCCGGCGAGAATATACTAAGACATATGAAGGGGACATATGAAAGGGGCCGGAAATCAAGCAAAAACCAAGCAAAACCAAGCCTTCGGAAACGCGGCATGGGCGTAAGCCAACCGGCTTGGCCTGCGAGCTCCCCCACACTGGGTACGTGGGGTAACCCTGGCAAGTCCACCTCAGTACGCAGTACATAACGCTGAAAGTCCACTGCAGCGACTGCGCGCCTTCAGGGGCACCAATCAGTGAAAGTTCGCGAGAGGTGCCCCTCTGTTGGCCCTTAATTAGCGCTAGCCCGCACTGTAATTGATAGCTTGGAATTGCCCAATAAGCACTCGGGAAACCTTGTCATTGGTCCACTCTTTTTCTTTTCCGTCGCCTTTTTCTGCCCGTCTCCAATTCCCGTTCCTCTCCTTCTCTCTCTCATACTGACTCTCACTCTTACTTTCACTTTCACTCTCTTTGAATCGTACACGTGTAAGTTCTCTCAGCCTCCATCCCCTTCAAAAGAAACATTATTTCCCCTGAGGGGCTCGCCCGGGACTCCATGTCCAAAGTCTCCCAAAGCACCATCACTATATTCATCTCCTGCCAGATTTCCTCCTGCTAAGCTTTTCTCGGAAACGGCGGAGATCACCGCAGGCTACCACTCACCAGCATGTTCCCGGTTCCGCCATATAAAACACAAAAGCTTGATTTTGTTGGCTGTCTTCTCTCTTCCTTCGTACCCAGACGTTCAGATGAATAACCGTCCGCCTTGTCCCCCTCATGGTTTAGCTCCATGTATCCGTTCGCTTTCCGTCCATCAAAGGTCTGCGAGTACCTAATGACGGCGAAGCTTTGCCGTCTCGTCCGTCCATCTCATCCCCATGTGCCCCTGCCGTTCTTCCCTGAAGACTCAAACCCCTTCATATGGACGGAAAAATTGCAGCCATGGTCCCATGCCATGTGCTCTCTCTCCAATCTTGCCCTTGCTGCTAGCTAGACCCCTTCTCTAGTGCCCCTGCTTCACCTACAGTAGTCATCCCTAATCGAGCTATCGCCGTGTCATTCATGGTGGATATCCTTCCAACGCCGAGAAGCTTGCCCCCCCTGCTCCGCATCGGCGCATATCCCCTTCCCGAACTTCAAAGGGCTCCAACACTCACTGTCACCGCGGAAGATCTGATATAAATCCTTTCCCCAGCCCTTTCGCAGCGTAGCAGTCTCAAAACGGCTTTGTACAGCTTCTCCAATTGCTTGGCAAACTACCCCCAATCGTCCTTGGCATCAGAACAATCCTGGCCGCCGTTACATTCCTTTGACTTGTTCATTCTTTTTTTTGCCCATCCAATTACTGTTCACCATGGTCGCTCCAACCCTGCTCGGTGGTCTCCTCGCCGCCGCCCTGGTGCCCTTCACCCACGCCGCCGCCGGTGGCCGCCCAGACATCAAGGCCGCCCCCTTCCACCCGGGCCGCGCCTTCCCCGCCTCCGCCCCGAGGACAAAGACCTGCGCCGTCAAGGCCGGCACCAACGGCAGCGACGACTCGGCCGCCATCCTCCAGGCCTTCCACAGCTGCAACAACGGCGGCACCGTCGTCCTCGACAAGACGTACACCATCTGCAACCCGCTCGACCTCACGTTCCTCAACGCCGTCGATGTCGCCCTCACCGGCACCGTCAACTTTTGCGACGACATTGACCACTGGCTGCCCCGCACCTTCAAGTACACCTTCCAGATCTCTTCCTCCATGTGGAAGTTTGGCGGCAAGGATGTCAACATTTACGGCAACGGCGTCGGCACGCTCAACGGTAACGGCCAGAAGTGGTGGGACCGGTTCGCGTCGAATGCTACGCTTGAGAGACCTATTCTCTTCGTCACTGATGGTCTTCATGGCGGCTCTATTACCGGCTTGAAGATGGTCAACTCCCCTCAGGTAAGATTCACTCACCCGTTCACTCATTCACTCTCACCCACCTCTCATGAACTCTCATCCACCTCATTTGGAATCTAAAGAACGACCACTAAAAAAAGCCTCCAAACAGTGGTTCAACCTCATCGCAAACAGCACCGACGTCCTCATCTCCGACATCAACATCAAGGTCGGCTCCACCTCCTCCAACCCGGCCAAGAACACCGACGGCTGGGACACCTACCGCTCCGACGGCATCGTCATCCAAAACTCCGTCATCAACAACGGCGACGACTGCGTCTCCTTCAAGCCCAACTCGACAAACATTGTCGTCCAGAACCTCGTCTGCAACGGCTCCCACGGCATCTCCGTCGGCTCTCTCGGCCAGTACATTGGCACCTTTGACGTTGTCGAGAACCTCTACGTCTACAACACGAGCATGTCCAACGCCTCGGACGGCGCCCGCATCAAGGTCTGGCCCGGCATGGATACCCCTTTCCAGCCCAACCTCTCTGGCGGCGGCGGCTCGGGATACGTCAAGAACGTCACCTACGATACCTTCCACAACGACAACAATGACAATGCTATTACTATCGATCAGTGCTATGGTCAGAAGAACCAGACTATCTGCAACCAGTACCCTGTAAGTTTCTCCCGGCAGGTTTTGATGTGACGAGAAATAAGAAATCGGAGTACTGACACCATCCGTCTTAGTCCAACATGACCATCAGCGACATCTACTTCAAGAACTTTGACGGCACCGCCTCCTCCAAGAACGACCCCCGCGTCGGATCCCTCGTCTGCAGCAGCCCCTCCGTAAGTTTCTCTCTTCCAATCCTCTTCCCAAAAGTCCATGGCACTAATAACCAGCCAGAAATGCGTCAACATCAACGCCTCCAAGATCAACGTCAAGGCTCCGAGCGGCAAGAACCCTCAATGGCTCTGCGTCAACCTCGACACTGGTCTTCTCGACATCAACTGCGTCACCAAGGTGACCAAGAGCTAGAAATAAGTTCTTGGTCTCGTTCAATCTTATTCTGTATATTTGAATTTGTTATTTCTTGTATTTAAAAGGGAAACTTTCCCCGGGTGATTTCATGTAAACACCCATAGGTACAAAATTTCCTAGAAGGGAAAAATGGTGGATCTTACACATATTTGATACCTTCATCTCTCCCATGCCTATAGACTTTGTGAAGGGTCAGAAATCGACTGATCGCTCAAGGGAGGTTCGACCTTATTAAAGACACAATCCTTCCCATGAATTGCCATTTCGTCGGTCGAGTCTAAAAAGCCCCACCGAAGGGCCGAAGAATGATCGGTCAACCCTTCAAGCTTGACTCGACACACTGTCTGAAGGTTTATCAAACCTCCACACAGCCATATCCCTCATCTCGGCAAACCGCCACACCTTGATGCACTCCTTTTCGACGGCAACGAGCCTCCCGCCGCACTTTTCACAGACTCTCATGCTGCCTACATTCTCTAGATCAACCTGCGCAATGAGGTGCGTGATCTCGATCTGATCTCCGTCGTCATCGTTGCTCTCTGCGCCTCTAGTAGCTGCCGTAGCCCCATTACCTTTGATCTGCAACCCTGGATCCAGATCTCCAGCAGAGGAGGCATGGGCACCATCATCTCCTTGTTTGCTCTGACCTCCTGTTGCTGACGACCGAACCTCGGGGACAACAACCATATCCCTCCTCGGAGCCAACCTCATACGACTCCAGTACATGTCCAAAAAAGCCGTGATCGTGCGCGTGGCGTACCCTTTTCCCCAGCAATCGGACCGCAGCTTGTACCCGATCGACAGTCCCCAAGCTGATACCGTCGTCGTCCTGATACTTCCGATCATTTTGGTCTCTCTGGTGATGTCGGTGGCAGGAACCCCGTCGTTGCCGCCTTCCGCCGGTAATGGAGGAAGGGACGCGTAGTCCGAGACCATTACGGCACAGCTTAGGTGCCAGGGTTCAGTCCCTGGGTTGTTGACTACTATGCGCTCTTTGGAGGCTTCGAGGGTAGTTGTGCGGAGCCGGGTGCTTTGTAGGCATGAAAACTGATTAGCGATTTCTCTCTCTCTCTCTCTCTCTCTCTCTCTCTCTCTTTGTGTGTATTGTTTGTGTGATACCCAAGGGATGGCAAGTAGAATTCAGGAACAGTGACATTACCTCCAGAGATTCGCTTTCTCATCGGAACATAGTTCGTGGAAGCCTTGAAGGTGTTTGTGGGGGTCCAATAGCTCTAGCCATAAGTCCGGTCTGGGTGAGTGTAAGGACATCGTGAGGGTCTCAACTAGTCTGAAATAAGAGTGTGAATCATCAATGGGAATAGGTATCGGACAATCAAGACGTGGCAGTTGGACAGGACAAGATCATTGGTTTCAACGGTGCCGTTTGAAAGGGTTGTGAGTTATTATTAGGTCGGCCTGAAAGATCGCCCGTTCCAGTGAGTCACGCCATCCTGGCTAACTCTATGGATGGTGTCAGACTGAGCTTGTCCGGGGACTTCAGCAGTAGCGCCTAGCTCCTGGCTCTGAATTTTGCAGAGTTATGTTGACTGAGGATAATGTTGTAGTTCAGAGATGTGCTTTCTCATTATAGATGCTATTGTCGCTACAATTGGTGCTTATTTGTACGGGTGCTGGGAGAGGGGAAGTAAGATTTTACAGAATAGGTTCAGTTGTAGCAAGTGCTTGAAGTGCCACGAAATCATTGTGAAAGAAATTGAGCTTTTTCATAGGCGTGCGGACTTGGAAATCAGAGATATGAGTTTACAGAAACTTGTTCTGCTCAGAGTGTCTTCTCAGCTTGAGCCAGTGAGATGAAAGAAAGCTTGAATACCTCAAGGCATCCTGATGAGTAAGGTAACTGAAGAGGCAGGAGTGAACGTCGCTGCTGCAGACCCCACATCGTGCGCCCCTCATTTTCGTCTACCCACCCCAGGGGCATCTGCAGAGCTTCCCCGATAAGATAAGACATTTTTCGAACCTCCAAACTTTCCAAGCTCATAGAGAGTCACCTTGACGCGACGACGCAACAACCCAATCCCCACTCATTGCACTCGCGCCATGTCCAGCAATGTCGGCAGCAGGTTCTAACTCGAGACCCCTAAAGTCCGCCTTCGCCAACAAACGGAAACAGGGATCCTCAGGCGACAATGGCGGAGGGAACAACGGCGCAGCAGGCGGTGGAGGAGGATGGGCGCAAAAGCGCGTCAAGATCCGCCAGGACCGCGAAATCGCAGCGCAGTCCTCGGACGCGGCCCTGCGCGACGGCGAGCTCGATCTCCAGTCCTTCCTGAACGCGCGCGAGTTCGAGATCCGGGCGCTCGAGGAGAGCATGCGACACACCAAAGCCGAGGCCACGAGCCGGGCGTTCCAACAGGTGCCCCGCGGGCTGAGGCGGCGGACGGCGAGCCACAACGCAAAGAGGGTACCCAAGAGGCTGCGTAGGCGGGCTTTGAAGGAGATGGCGGAGGATAACACCCCCGTGGTGCTCTCGAAGCGCAGGAAGCCCAAGACGACGAGGGCGCGGATCCGGGCGGAGACGGCAAAGAGGTTGGGGATGCTTGCGGAGAAGAAGAGGAGGAGGGCGATGAAGGCGGAGAAGGCCAAGGCAAAAGACAAGGACGGCGAGGGGCACACGGACAAGACGGGCGTTGACGGACCGAGTAAAGGCGCAGTCACAGTCGCGACACGGCCGCCGCGGCCCAAGATCCGCCGGAACCAGCTCAAGGAGCCGCCGCAGCGCAAGTCCAAGTTTAGGAAACGGCAGATCAACAAGACGTGGCTGCCGACGCACCTGTGGCACGCCAAGCGGGCGCGCATGACGGAGCCCGCGAACCCGCTCTGGCGGTTCGCGATACCCCTGACCCCCAACGAGAAGACGTATCGGGCGACGCACCGGTCCCACGGCGATAAGGGCGCCGTCGCTTGGGACACGAGCTACGTTAGCACGATTGGGCTCTACGGGTCGGCCAAGGGCGTGGAGCAGGTCCTGCGCCGGCTCGGCGTCGTGCAGGAGAGTTGTTGGAATGAGAGGGGGAGGAAGTGGAGGGAGGGCACGCGGCACTGGAGCGGGTTCTTGAGCAGGGAGGTGAAGGGAGGAAGCCTCGGGGGGAGGCGGGAGGTCTGCCCGGCAACGATTCTCTGGAACCCCCTTGAGCCGGTTGCTGAGGATCGGGATGAGGCGCAGACGGTCAAGGTTCAGCGACAGGTCTTTGTGAGGGTGCACCCCTCCGCGTTCCTCGAGGTCTTCAATGAGCTTCTTCGGCTCGTGAAGATGCAGAATCCCAGGATGTATATCGAGGATCTGCGCTTCGAGATTGGCAGCATCGAACTCACCGGCCCCGCATCGACCGAGGCCCTCCTGGGCATCCTGCACCCATACCATACGCAAGAAGGATTCAGAGAACAGCACGCAGACATTTTCGAGGGCCTGAACAGCCTCATGAGTCCCGCGTCGCTTCCCCTCAACGCCACGTTGAGTTTCTCCATCATGGACCCGCGCCTACGATACCCCCCGAGGAAAGTCGCGCAGCCCGACCCCGACGACGAAGAAGAGCAAAACAAGTCTCTCGAGCTACTTGCCAACTGGCCAGCGGACACCAACCTGAAGCCCCACGGCCTCTTCCACCGAGACGCGCGGGCTTCAGCCACAAGACTCCCCTCGCAAAAGTCAATTGACAGGCGCAAAGGGGCAAGGCGTCCCGGTACAGACCTGAGCGTCTCGGACGCAGATCCGCCGATACCCGTCATACTGGTAGGATCACGCGCGGCCGGAAACAGTAGCAACGGCAATAGCAGCTCTCAGGGGAACTGGACGGTCCTCGCGCCATGGCGGTGCATCCAGCCTCTGTGGCACAGCCTCGTCCACTTCCCCCTTAGCTCGGGCGGCAATCCGCGCTTCTCTGGGCTGGATCAGATCCGGCAGGTCGCGTTCGAGCGGGCTACGCCGTGTTTCCCGTTTGATTTCCTCGGCACCGACGCCGGCGCCGCGTGGGAGGTGGAACAGCGGCGCCTGCGCAAGGCGAGCTGGGAGCGGCGGCCTAAGAGTAAGCGGGTCGCGTGGGCGTCGTTGGATCTGGGTGCCGGGCGGAAGGGGGAGGTTGGCTGTGGATGGGCGTGTGACGTAGAGTTTTTGTTCCGAGAGGAGACGACGACAACGACGACGGATAAGGGTCGAGAAGAGGAGGTGAAGAGGAGGGCTGCTGCTTCGGTGGATGCAGATGAGATGGACGTTGATGAGCCTTCTCCAGCAAAGAAGGAAGAGGAGGGAGCCGCCGCCGCCGGTGATGCCGCGTCCGAGGGGGAGTTCCTCAAGACGCTCCAACATATCCGCAAGGACGCCTTCAAGGCACACACATCTTCGCCATCATCAGCAACACCAGCCCCGTTACCGCCGCGATCCGTCATCAACGTAAAGATCTCAATCCTCAACCGCGGCGTCGCCACCGCCTGCGCGAGAATCTACCGCCTTCCCTCGCGCCCCGCGCCCACCGATCCGACCTCCTCCGCCGAAATCCCCGCCACAGTACCGCCACCCCCGGCGCCAACGACATCCGTCCAAGGCGGCGACAGCAGCAGCAGCAGCAGTCTACCCCCCAACCTCCGAGCCCAATGGCTCGCCACCCTCCCCGTCTCCAGCGCGAGCGTGAAATACCCATCCAAGAAGAACGGAAAAGCAACACACCAACGACACCAGCAAACCAAGCATCTGCCCCTCGAAACCCAAAAACAAATCATCGCCCAGAAACTCCTCGCCTCACCACCTGCCGAGGTGTCATCACTGCTACCCGCGAAACCGAACCAGGCGGATATGAACGGGCACCACCCTCTCGTCCCCGACGAAAGCGATCTGCTGGGCTTCGTGACGACGGGGTCGTATTGTCTCGCTGAGGGGCGGGGGACGGCGATTGGGTGTTTAGCTGCCGAGAAGGCTGCTGAGGCGGTGAGGGATGGTGGCGGTGGTGGTGGTAGGGAGGGGACGTTGTGTATTGTGCGGAATGCCGGGGAGAGCGTTGGGTGGATTGCGCGGTGGGAGGTTGTTTGAAAGCCGAGAGGGTGTTTTGTTTCTGCACACACACACACATACACATACACGACAAACCACTGTGAATGGGACGTGGGGTTTCGTTGTAGATGTGTGAGGTCAGGTAACTTTTGTCCGGCAAGGCCAGGAAAGGAGACATTGGTCCCTATGAGGATGCGTTGACACCAGGAAAGCCGATCACTAGATTAAAAGATAGGCAGACCGTCCTCGGGACGGAGGTGAAAAAAAGCAAGTCGCCCGACAGACGGGGATGATACGTTTCGTCAGAGCCAAATAATTACATATCCACGACCCCCCCCCCCCCCTCTGCCTTAAGTCTTGGTCTACCTCAGGACACGCCATCTGTTACTTGAAAACGATCAATCTGGTTGGGGATCCCAAGTGAGACTGAAGCATGTTCAAAGCACTCACCAGATCCCCGCCCAAAATGGGTGATGAAATAAGATGTTAGTCAACACGAGACTACGATGCTTACTTGCCTACTGATTATTCCTAACTTTCTAATTCCTTTCGTCTTTTTATTTCAAGTCTCGACTACCTCGATTATTTCTACTGTCCCTATTATATTTACTATCTTTACTCTCTCTATATTCATTAGAGAATACTCTTGAGGAGAATACTCTTGAGAAGAATAACAAGGAATGATAATAATAAAAGAGCTAGGTACCGGGATACCCAAAGAGCGGCAAGCGATTATTTCACCCACTTGCCCCCGTACCAAGACCCCTTTCGACGCAAATGAGAAATCAGACATCTTTGCACATCGTTATCGTCACAGCACAAACACGCACACACAGAGAGAGAGAGAGAGAGAGAGAGAGAAAGACCTAACGTGACGTGGGTAGAACACTCGACTGTTTTGGCGAGGTTAATTCTGTTCTTGCGTAGGTACTGT